AAAAAAAAAAAAAAAAAAAAAAAAAAAAAAAAAAAAAAAAAGGAAAGAAAAGAATAATAATGAATAAGGGGAATACAATAAACAATAAAAAATGAAGTTAAATAAAGTAAAATATTTTTATAAGATTCAAAAACTAATTATTACAAGTCTCTTTGCTTGTTTAACTCTGGAGAAATGCTTACTGACAGTTAATTTTCTGTTATTTAGCATGGTATTAATTAGGATGCTTGGGTTAATGAACTTTGTTTGTTTTGCTTGCTGTCCCATACAGGGATTGAACCCTGGACCTTCATGTTATCAGCACCATGTTCTAACCAACTAAGCTAACTGGCCAGCCAAATGAAGTATTTTACATAGTAGAAAGTTACTATATACAGAGTTATGGTCTTTTAAATGAATTTAGAAAATTAAAATAATACGTTACGTAAAACTACATTGAACTTAATTAATTCAACCAGTAAATAATTGTTTAGAGCTGGCTATAGCTCTATAACTGTGCAAATCCTGGAGGAATAGGAAAGAACCATTTCACACTGGCCCTGGCTTCAAGGCACTTTTACTGAGTCAGCAGTATTTAGTAAGAAATTTATTAAAGAATAATACACTCCATTTTGCAATCAAGGGCCAAAGTATAAAAAACGTGTAGAACATAAAAACAAAATGAAGGGAGAAATCCACGTGAAACAGAATCATGAGGTCTTAAACCTCAGCCTTAGGCAAAGCTTCTTGAAATGACAGGATTTGTGCTGGGTTTTGAAACATAAATGATATTAAAATAGGTCAAGAGAATCCAGAAAGGGCATTCCAAGAATGTGTGCACAAGTGTGTGTGTTCACACACGTCTGTACACAGGTACTTGTGTGATGTGGGGCTGGAGGCAAGTAGGGAGAATATCAGTAAACAGGAACAAAGCCAAGGAAATGTGGATATTATAAGGGGACACACCTGGCTTATTCACCAAGCAGGAGAATTCAGGGCCTTGAATTCAGTCAGGATGTTCGGCCTTGGTATGGAAAGCTGACTGCAGTAACCATATTCTTGAGCGGAGTATGATGTGTTGTTTCTGTTGACTCACAGTATATTTCAAGACCTTTCTCTGCTTCAGGACCATCATTACTTTGAATTTGCTATTCTTAAACTTTGTAAAAATAACTCCATTCACTTTTTTCAATGTTCTGTCTTTAAAGCTCTGAGTCATTTTTCTTGCGTTTAATTGTCCTGTCTCCCATTTTGCTGATGGATTGGCCTTTCTATGTTTCTGTCTTGGCAGGGCAGTGACAAATGCTTCCCAAGCTAAAGTCTCTATGTCTTCTGCTGGTCAGACTAGTCGGGGGGTGACTATGGTCAGTCCTTCCACTGCAGGAGGACCTGCGCAGAAGCTCCAGGGAAATGGTGTGGCTGGGAGTCCCAGTGTCATCCCCACAGCCGTGGTTTCTGCAGCTCACATCCAGACAAGTCCTCAGGCTAAGGTCTTGTTGCACATGACTGGGCAAATGACAGTCAACCAGGCCCGCAATGCTGTGAGGACAGGTAAGGAGGAAACCAGACTGGAACATTATCAGGAAAAAGGTTTACCTGCCTAATATCAGATCTTTTATGACAGATGTTGAGAGAAGTAGGTGTAATATTAAAAGAAACAGGAGCAGGCTCAATGGCACTTTATTATATCTCTTTATTTGGGATAAGCCTGCCCTGCATGCTGATTCAAGCCTGACCTACAGATCTAGAGTCTGTAGGAAATTAGGCTGATCCTAAGAATGTCAATAGTACTTGAAAATATGACCTCTATGGTCAAGATCATATGATCCCAAATCTCACTGCTACTAGCTGTGTGACCACTGCGTGAAACTCTACTAACCAGTGTGCTGATTCTTTTTGATAAACTTAGTCACAAGTCTGTTTCAGACCTAATGGGATCTTAAATAGCTTTCTTAACTTCTGTAGCACTGAAAACCTACCAGGAATCTAGGGTAACAATGGTGGGGTAAACTAAAGCCTTGTGAACTCTGTCAGAAAAACACAAAAGAAGGAAAATGGTTAATAAAGGGACTAGAGGCCAGTGTGGTTGACACTATGGAGTACCATATGGAGACTGGGTTGGTGTCTCTAATGCTGTGGAAAGACTTTCTTGGTAACTAAAGGTTCTTGGGATTATAGCTAAGCTTCCAGGCACTCAACATATTCCAGGGCTGACCTGGAAGGAAAATAGTGTCTAGGGATCCAGCTAAGATTAAGTGCTTTTAAACCACCATAGATCCATTCCTTATTGTAATAAATGCAATAGCGACCTCTCATTATGGTCTTATGGAGTGAAATGATTCATGTTTTAGTGAGCAGCATTTATTAGAAAGTTGAATTTTGCTGTGTTCCCTTCTGTCATCTCCTAGTTGCAGCACACAACCAAGAACGCCCTACGGCAGCAGTGACGCCCATCCAGGTACAGAATGCTGCCTGCCTCGGCCCGGCATCTGTGGGCCCGCCCCATCATTCGTTGGCTGCCACACAACCCCCGCCTCCAGTGGCAGGCCCTGCTGCCCATGTTGCTGCCATCAGCATCAGTCGAGCCAATGCCCCTCAGGCTTGTGCCACAGCTGCTTCTCTCACCTCCCCAAGCATTGCCACTGCCTCTCTGGAGACTGAGCCCAGTGGCCGGACGGTGGCCATTCTCCCTGGACTTCCCACATCTCCTGACAGTGCTTCATCAGCTTGTGGAAACAGCTCAACAACCAAACCAGACAAGGATAGTAAAGTAAGACCGACTTCCTGTTTCCCTGCCTACGTCGTGTCCCATAGTTTCTAGCTAATGAAAGGACCCTTTGTTCAACAGTCCTTTAAATGCTTACCATGTGCAAGTCACTGTGCCGGGTGCTGGGAATACAGTGGGGAAGAAACTCAGGCACCATGCCGTTCTCTTATCTAGAACTTGTGTTCCTCTGCATTTAACCACCCCTAGTTGCCAGGCCCTGTGTTGGATGAAAGGGAGACCACAGTCACTCCTAAATGAGACTTAGTCAAGTCGTCCTTGTGCAGCTTACAGTCTCAAGGAGGAATTTCCTTTCCACTTTACTCATTCTTTCATCGTTTGCTGTCCTCATTCTTCATCTTACTGTTAATAGTTCTGTAAAAAAAATTAAAAGAAAAATTAATAAATGAGGGGGTTGAAACTGTTGATCAGAATGTTTATTTGTGGATTTATTTTACCTACAGTTCATCTAACCATAATCAGCTTGGTTCCTTGAGAGACAGGACTTAAAATATAGGGAAAAAACATTTTCTAAATCCATAGGTTTATTAAAAAAATCTCTCACTTGGGGCTAAATTTCAAAGAAAATAAAAATGGAAAGCAGTGTTTGAAAGACTAACCTGTGGTTGGGTTTAGAGACAAGTGGTTGGAGGCAAGAAAAATTGATAGTGATTAAGTATGAACAGAAAGAGAAGAGATGATAACAAGGTCTGGATGGTTATATTGCAACCATGACTTTTTCCTCAATATTTCATGCATTTTCTCTGAAGCTCATACCAGTTCTGAGAAGCTCTAGGGTAATCATAAACTCTTAGCCACCTGGTTCAGGGGTAATGTATGTCGCTCTATTTAAATGGTTAGGTAAGCCTGTAAACAGGAGTTTATAAGGAAATAAACTTTACAGCCTACTAAAAAGTTAATGTGTAATTGTTTGGTTAACATGGGAGTCTTTGAAAAAGATTGGTATCTGTTCAGTGTTTATAATTAACTTTATTAAACTTATACTCAAGCTGACATATTCAACTTTGTTAATATCGTTAAAAGAATTATATTTATTGTTTAAATTTTAAGGTTTGGGAACAGTATGTCTAAGGGCCCTTGTCACTGATGAGAACAGGGGCTCCTCAGCTCCTGTCCTCCTATGTAGAATTCATTGAATCTCAGACGCTTGAAAGGTACCCATAGTTGACAGAATAATGGCTTCACAAAGATGTCCACCTTCTAATCCCTGAAACCTTCAAATATGTTTCCTAGAATGGCAAAAAGGACTTTGCAAATGTGATAAAATTAAGAGTCCTGAGAAAAGGGGATTAGCTTGGATTATCTGGGTAAGTCAGTCCAATGTAATCACAAGGGTCTTTATAAAAGGGAAGCAGGAAGGTCAGGGCAGAAAAGGAGATGTGGGGCCGGCCCGGTGGCGCGCTGCTACAGTGCGCCGCTTGGGAGCATGGCAGTGCTCCCGCCGAGGGTTCGGATCCCACATACAGACTGGCCGTTCACTGGCTGAGCGTGGTGCGGGAGCAACACCGAGGGTTGCGATCCCGTTGCCGGTACCAGTCCAGTACGGGCGCAACACTGAGGGTTGCGATCCGTTGCCGGTCACGAAAAAAGACAAAAAGGAAAAAAAAAGAAAAGGAGATGTGACAGTGAAACAGAGGTGATATGAGAAGGAGCCGCAAGCCAAGGAATGCAGGCAGCCTCTAGAATCTGGAAAGGCAAGGAGGTAAATTCTACCTATGGCCTCCAGAAGGAATGCAGCCCTCCCAACACATTGATTTTTCAGACCTGTTTTTACCACGGAGTTTGTGGTAATTTGTTACAGCAGCAACTAATACAGGACCTTAAGGGTCATCCTGTTGAGTACTCATCCCTGACAAATGGCCACTGGCCTCTGCTTGGACACCCCGTTAACCTTATGAGTGCCCTAGACTGAGTGGCCCATGCCATCTTCAGACAATTCAAACGCAACTCAGCCTTCTGTCCTTATTCTTTATTTTGAGAGCCACATAGAAAATGTTGAACTCCTTCCTGCGTATTTGTAGGGTTGTCTTTCCCCTTGTGTCTTCTTTTTTCAAGGCTATACTCTTGAAGTTTTTTTCATTTATTCTTTATGTCACAGATTTCAAGTTTTTCCTTCTTAAATCTACTACCTCATTTTACATTCCAAGTCCACTAAAAAGACTTCTGTTGATTGAAACAAATCCTGTAATTCCATGATTATTGTCACTTAAACAATCATGAATTCTCGCAACTATAGTGTCATTAGCCCATATTCCTCTGTCACATCTACGGGGATATCATGGGAGAACTTGCCAGATGCCATGTTGAGATCCAAATGTCTTTTATATGTCCCATACAAACAGTTTCCCAGTTGTCTCCTAATTTCTGCTGTTACTTATTGTTAGCAAGTGTCTCCTGGAAGAGTTTCCTCCTCAGTCTCGTTTCCTTTCCTAAGTGCTTATAAACCTTTCATTTAATACTATTCTAGAATTTCCCAGATGGTCTGCGAAGTGCTTTGTTGTCGTCCTTTTGAAAACTAGGACTACACATACCTTTCTTTGCCTGTTGAGTTAACCCTGACCCCAGTTTCACCAGGATCTCTCAAAGATTATTGGTTGCATTGTGGCTGTTAATTTTCTCTGTACTTTGGGGTGAATTCAGCCTGTCAGGAGTAGTCATGTACTCTTTAAATCCCAATCTCTTCACCCATTTCCCTCTCATCAAGATTTATTCTTCCCTTCCAGTCTGAAGATTATTCCTTTTCTTCTTGCCATGTGAGAACCACCATCCACCCCAAACAGCAGGTCTGTATCTTTCTTGTTCTTCTTGTTTCAAACCTAACTTTCAAACAGCTCTTTAAAAAATTTTTTTTCTTTAGCATTTTTGCAAGTTTAAGCTCATTCTGATCGTTAGCCTTCTAAAATGGCTGTGGGCCATGTTACATTCTTTGTTATGAGCCCTTCTCTTGATCTTTTTGTGCATGTCCTTTAAAAATTTTAGTCCATTAGGCTGCTCCCTGGGGGACCACATTGGTACCTTCAGATACTTCTACATTTTCATGGGCAAGGATAATTTGCAATTGTATGGTTAGAATTTCATTTTTGAGAGCTTTCCCAGTCTTCTTGAAGCATCTTCCCTTTTAAATTTCATGTCATGCATATATTTTCTTTGAACTCTCAGAATCAGTTCTTTTCAACTTTAGAGTTCAAACCTGACTATTGCATCTCTGGGTGCTTTCTTCCAAGTTCTTGAGATTTCTTCTTCATCAGCTGAGCATTTCCACCCTGTCTCGTCTCTGTGTTTCCCCCCAGTTGATCAGAAAATTAGATGCAAAGTTGCAGTTGGCTCAACTTTCTGTTAGAATCAGTGAATCAAAGAAAAAGTGTATTGGAGATTCCAGTTTTACTTGAGACTTGCAGTAAATACCTATGTGTTTGACAATGACCTCGTTAATTCTATCTTCCCTCATCATTTTGGGATCATCATCATTCATTTACCTAGACCTATGAGGTAGTCCATGGTGTTTCTCCCCAAATGATGGCCTGTCAATTGCCCTCTCCTTTTCTCTGTACCCAGATGCTCTTTAGTGGACCACCCACCACTGGTGTTCCACAGAGGCATATACCTTTCTGATGTACACACGGGACTATTGCACTCCTCTCCTGACTGGGCTGTTCCTTTTGAACAATATTTTATTTGGAAATCCTATCTCACAAAGTCTCAGGGATCTCTGGAAGCTGTGTTTTTGTCTCTGAATTAAAATCTCTAATTTTGGTATATGTGCTCTGTATGAGTATTTGATAAATAGGCATCTGAAACTCTATATTTTCAAACATCATCTCAGTTATTTCTTATTTGAAAGCCTGCTAGCCAGTTAGTCTTCTTTCTCTCTGACCCTGATGTCTTCCACAGTGATCAGTCTGACAGCTTTATCTGGATATTCTTCTAACTTCATACTCAGTCCAAAGGCTTCCTATCTCATCAGGTTATTGTGAGGAATAAATATGGAAATGATTGTGAAGCATTTAAAAAGATTCTTGAACCTGATTGTGTTTAACCATCTCTGGAATTTTATATGGCCCTTCCCTTCCCCCTACTGTGCCCTTCCTTAAAGACTCCCTCTATCTCAGACAGCACCCCCTTGTCATTCTCTCTCCCCTTACTCTGCTGTATTTTTTCTGCAGAGAACCTCTTTTACAGCCATGTTTGTGTCTCTGCTAGAGAATGTGAACTACTTATTGTCTTGTTCACTAATGTATTCCCAGAGCCTAGCACATTGCCTGGTTCGTATTACCACTCAAATACCTGTTGAAAGTATGAATAATTATTATTAGACAGTCTCATGAATTAATTTTTTGAGATTCCTTTGCTAAGGACATAGAGGATTATTGGGAGCCTGACTGTGTAGATTATTGAGGACCTTTGACCCAGAAAGACTATTGATCTTTTGTTCATTTCTGTATACGTCTAAGGACATAGAAGGGAATAAAGAGGAAGTCTTAATGGGTAGAATGTTGTCAATTGTGAGTTACTCAAATAAAGTTTATTTTTGCTTAGGAAGGAGCTCTGATTTGATGTTTCCCACATTGTACTCATCCTCTGTTACATGGCTAATAGAAGGGTATTAAGTTGATGTTCAGAAATTATTTTGTATGTGAAAATTACTCTTTTTGGTTATTTGGTGATTATTTTCTGGCAGTTTTTTTTATATATGTGATGTTGTTTTAAATCATCATATCTTCTGAAGAAAACATTATGACTATAAAAACATCATTTCATCTACTTGGAAAACTCATGGGAGATGAATTGTAAAGGTTTATGTTAAATGGTATGCCCCTTTTTTATGCATGCTAACGTTACATTTTTAAAATTGCTTTGCTGCAGTGTAGTCTTTATTAATTCATTCATAGTTTTCATTTCTGCCATTGGATTTTGAAAAAACAGTGGTGTCCTTAGATGATAAGTGTCTGAGTTTGCAAAATTCTCTCTCTCAAGTGGCACATTGTTCTGCTGACATAGAAAACATCAGAATATGATATGAAAAGCACGGTTCCCTGGAACTAGGGAGGCATCTTTCCTGTATTATTTCCCGCAGCCCTGCCCCTGCCCTCTGCCCTCTGCCATGATACCTAATCCTCAGCCTTCTGCTCTGTGTTTAGTCAGCATCAGTTGAGATGATAACACATCCCTTAGAAGTCATTAAAGCAAGCTGTATTTAATGTGTTTAATCATTTGGATGAATCAAGTCATCTTTCTTCTTAATCACTTTAAAGGCTGTTCCCTAAGTGCTATTCAGTTATCTGCTATTTTTTGAGTGCTCAGAATTGCTTTTAAGAAATGTCTTTCTCGCTGTGGCTTGCTGAGATTGTAATTTATCAATGGACTTGATGTTCTTACTGAATCTGCAGGGTTCCAGGGATTAGAGCACTTTCTTACAATGATGTTAAGCTTGGCAGGAGTAGCTGGAAGTTGCAGCTGACTCCTACCTTACACATGTAAGATATTGGATGTTATTCTTTCCCAGTTATTTCTTGGCCCCCCAGACCTGAGGCTCTCTACAAGAACTGCGGCAGTTGTATTGGCACGTGTTTAGTCAGGCTCTTCATTGACTCCTGTGTAGAGGGAAGGCCTTTTTTTCCTCTGGATATGGGAAATCCAAAATATCCTCTTTTATTTATTTAGCCCTGGCACTAGCTATTTTCCTTTCCTTACACTGGTCTCATCCTTTTCCATTTTCTTGTCCTGGCAGCTTTAGTAGGTGCGGGGCTCAGCATTAGGCACTGGGTGAGACACAAAGGTGTATAAGTTATGGTCGCACACTCCAGTGGGCAGTCCAAGTCTGTGGGGTCATTTATTAAAATGCATATAGTAGCCCCTTGGAAGATATGACGTTGAAAGAGTGAAGCAAAAGCCAGTAGGGTGAGTTGAGGTCAGACCTTGAAAAGAAATGCAAAAGGATCTTTCTCAGCATGGGAGAGGGGGTGGGAGAAGCAACTGGTTCTGCTCATCTGTAGCCCAGGTCAAGAGGATACAGAGATGACCTTAGCATTCACTTTCCTATTTCTTGCCCATGAGTTAACATGTACTCCGAGCAGCTTTAGGTGAATGAGAACTATGATATAATTTCCCTGAGATGCTTGCTTATCGTCTAACAGATGATTGCTTTTGTCTCCTTTTTTCTGCCATCCATCTCTAATGGAACCATGTTCTTATGGATTTAGATTTATTTACTCAACGGGTTTTTACTGTATCTGAACTAACTCATATTCCCAAGAAAAAATCCTCAGTGTTTTGTCTCCTGTGGGTCCTTCATAATTCTATTTCCCTGTTAGTGAATCTTAATAATTCCAATTTGCCCGAAGAGTTTGCTGAAGAAATAGTTCTCTCTGAAATGTTTTATTTTCAGACAGTGTTTCCATTCGGAGGACTTGATGTAGTTGACATCTTAGTAAAACAATTTAAAATGATGATGGTAAGCTCGGTCATCAGAAAAAAAATTGATGCTTAGGGTTTGGGAATGAAGGATAGCTGGCTCAAGGTCTGGTTTTTCTAGCAAAGAGGGAAAGTGTCAAAAGAGACAAAAGTTCAAGAGATGGCTTCTGTGGAATGAGATTGCTGGAAGAAAACCTCTTAATTGTACATTTGCTTGCAAAAAGAGACATAAAATGTTTATGAATATATTAAAGCTTTCCTTAAAATGTTGTTGAGTTGTGTTTGGGTTTCTAATCAGATAGGAACTTGCAAAAGAAATGGTTTGACTTCTGTTATTATTGGCTTTTTAAATTTAATAAAGGCGGTGGCATGTGAGAAGTGGTTTAGCCCTTAACGCTGATCAAGGTATCACTACGTGTAAATGATAAGGCTTAAGTCTGTGGATGTGGAGTGAAGTGCCGTTAGGTTTACATTTAATTCAGCATACAGTCAGCTCTCTTACAATAATTAGAGATAAGATAGGCAGAATTTCAGAAAATTAAATCCATAATCTGAAATTTCCATTTTATCCTGAAATGTCTACTGCTTTTTTTTTTTTACCAAACCTGAGATGTGAATTGGTGAAGTTTTTGTTTTACATCTTTTGTATCTACTCCTACCTCACTAGAAGATAGTAATGAACAATGGAATGTGCAAAACAAAAACATGTAGGCAGAAAGCGAGGAGGAGAGGCACCACAGGTTAACACCATGCAACACTTGGCAGCCAAATTGTGAATAAGCAAACATCAACAGAAACAATCTTAGAAGATCAAATCAGTAATCGAATTTGTAAGGCTATGTAGATTATAACAGCAATAGTACTGCCCGTCTCCAACTAATGTTCACATTTTTCTTTTCTAGAAAGAAAAAAAGGGTTTGCTGAAGTTGCTTTCTGGCGCCTCCACTAAACGGAAGCCACGAGTGTCCCCTCCAGCATCACCCACCCTGGAAGTGGAGTTGAGTGGTGGCGAGTTGCCTCTGCAGGGAGCAGTGGGACCTGAGCTGCCACTAGGGAGTGGGCACGGCAGAGCCGGCTGCGCCGCGGATGGGGATGGCCCGGTGTCAACAGCAGCGGCAGGTGTAGCCCCAGCCCAGGAAGCTTTTCATCGCAAGGCAAGCTCCCTGGACTCTGCTGTGCCCATTGCTCCACCTCCTCGTCAGGCGTGTTCCTCCCTGGGTCCTGTCATGAATGAGTCTAGGCCTGTTGTTTGTGAAAGGTGAGTTCAGTGTCGTTCCAGGAAGAAGCTAAGAAATGGACAGCAAGCTTTATGCTGGGATGTTTATTCTGATATTTGAGAGAGTTCTTCACATCCTCCTATATTTTCTTATCTGAATTCATAATCATCAGACACTGACTTTTTTCTACCACTCACTGCAGCATACTCTAGTCTCCTTTTTCCTCCCGTGTTCCTCACATTGGTTAGGTTCCCAGCCTTCTTTTCCTTTATTTTCTCTAGTCAACCACTGCAGATTGTGTCCAGATGAAATTCATCCATCACTGGAAACTTGTTCATATTTACTGACTTCTTCTTGCCTCTATTCGATCATCAGCAATCACTCCCTTTTTTCATCCTTTGTCTTTTTTGTTAAAGGTTTACATCATTACCAGCTAAGAGAATTCTCTTCTTACTCTTCCTGAGCCGGAAGAGTGTGACTGACTTCTCAGTCTTAGTTCTGTCGCCTCCTGACCCAGTGACTTGGTTCAATTACACTCAGAATAATGAGCCTAGTTCTAGTGATTCTGGCCTCTGGAGTTCTAGGAGTATGGTAGGAAAGAAAATATGTTTAATAAGATAAATATCTACTAAGATTATATAAACTAAAAAATGAAGTGTTTGTTGCCCAGGAAAACATCAGGAAGTACACTAAAAATAGTGGACTATTTTCACATAACATATAAATATGTAAACATTTGTTTTAAGTGTCATCTGTTTTATTCTGCAAGCTTCATTTCTTCTGTACCTGCATTTCAAAAATAAAGCAAATTTCTAATTTCTGGAGGTGTTGCCTTTTTAGTAGCATTTTCTATGTCACTGGTTTGAAATCTTACTATAAAGTGTTACACCTTAAAATGACAACTCAGACTGGCTGGTTAGCTCAGTTGATTAGAGCATGGTGTTCATAAAACCAAGGTCAAAGGTTCAGATTCCCATACTGGCCAGCTGCAAAAAATAAAATGATATAAAATGACAATCATCTTACTTCTGTATGTCATATGGAGTCATATGAACATTTTTACCCAGCAGAATCTAAGGTTTTCATTCACATGATTTTTTTGGCACACTTTTTTACTGTGAAGGCTGGCAGGTTAACTCAGTTGGTTAGAGTGTGGTGTTATAACACCGAGGTTCAGATCCCCATACCAGCCAGCTGCCAAAAACATAAATAAAAAGTAAGCTACTGAAATTGGAAAAGAATAAACTTCAAACAACCTATGTGCATTAAGTACAAAGTACACAAATTATACATTTTTATAGTGAGATGAAATAATTTTCAGTAGTTCTACCAGTTTTGAAATGAAACATTACCCTAAAAAAGTGTTTCTTCCCCATAAGCGAGATCATTCTTTCTTCTCATCTATTGTGTTCTTAGTAAAGCTTTGAAATTTTGTCCTGAATTCACTTAGTCTTTTATTTTGAGAGTCAGCCTTTTTTTTTTCTGCACTGTTACTCTGCTTTCCAGGGATAGGGCCTCTGTCCCTGGAGTTAGTCCAGTTACTTGTCTACTTTCTTTTGGTCACAAAGACTCCCTCTCTCCCTACAGGCATTGATTTGCAGTTTTTCCTTCATGACCTGAGGGTCTCTCTCCTCTTTCCCCTGTCATTTGTGGTGTTTGTGTGGCTGTTTTGAGTGATGGTTCACTTTGCCCAGACTCTCCCTAGGCTCAGCTGGGGCCTTGCTGCCTCTCTCACCAATTGTGCATTCCTTTTCAGTTGCCAGATGTCCTCAATCTCTGTGGCTTCTGCATTCCAGCTCCCTCCTCTTAGAGGAGCTCATTTCTAACAGCAGTCTCCTGCTGTTCGGTACAGCTGAAAAGGAGAAATCGCTAAGGGAGACAGGTGATGGCATTTTAGGGTGCAAGGGATGCCCATTAAGATAGGGAACACGGAGAATTTAATGACGGGACAGATGGGCATGGGCACGCTGGAATTCTCTGGCAGGTTTTTTATATAACCATTTCCATTTTTACAAGTGGGAAAGGGGTCTGTGGAGAAGACTCCTGCCCAAGTTTATATTTTTATAATCCCTATGTTCAGTGGAGTATTAAACATAATAGCCAGCCTGACCAACTTTCCACAGGCCTTTGCCTTAATACAATGATGGTAATAGTATTTATATAACTTGAATTCTTAGGCCTCCCCGACTGTAACAACAACAGGAAAGATGTGGAAACATAGGAAAATATTCTATTATCCACTGGGAATGAATTTTTTTGGTTAATAAAAGGCTACCAAGTATATAATTTAGGGATTAACTGTTTCTATATTTCAAACATTTTAATACAATAAAAAGTACCTAATGCTAAAAATGAAGGAAAAATGAACTTCCACATCAGTATGCCTCGGAAAGCATTTGGGATCTTACAGTTCCTTGATTCACAATACAAACATCACCACTCTTGCCTTGGCAAAATGCATAAGCCCAGACTTCTTTTGGTAGAACTTTTACTGATAGAATTTCATAGAAATATTTTTCAGTGTATACTATTGGGACAATATGAGATAGGATTCATATGAGATAGGATTCATACAGATTATAATGAGAACAAGCATAAAATTTCCTCTCAAACCATGATCCTGTCCCATAAATCTAAAGTAAAAGAATGTGACTACAGCAGCCAGTGCTGTCAATGGGAAGAAGTGTTCACGTGATTTAAAGACTTAAGCAATCTCATAATAAGGAAGGATGAACCTTGAAGTGTATTGACAGGTCTTGGTGTCAGCCAAGAGAATTCTCTGAGGAACAGAAGGATCCTTTTGTGTTTGTTAGAGAGACTGACTAAAACAGGCAAGAAGTAGTGTTATATCCTGGAGGCAGAAAATGTATAATTGATGACAGCAGAAGTAATAGAACAAATATTTTAGGCTCTATTTTAGAGGGATTGAGAAGAAATAATTAGGAAATTGCAAAGAGAAAATGGAAATAAAATATTTCAGAAGGGCAAATAAAAGTATGTGTGACAGGTTTTCTTTTTCTTCTCCTAAAACAAATTATAAGGGCTTAGAAAGTCATAGCAAGTCATCTCTGTGTGTATTTTTAAATTTAAGAAATAAAGTGATGACCACATACCTATAAGCCCATATCCTAAACTGGAAAAGAACCTATGATCTTTGATCAGGGATTAAGCTAGAACACTTGGAAACATACAAATTGGATAAAGATAGATTTATAGAAAGGCAGTCAGCTTTAACCAGCATGATTAATTTCTTTGAGACAGTAACAATGAACCCAGTGGGCAAAGCAATGGACATAATTTATTTGGACTTCAAGCAAGCTACAAAGTGAGCTAGTATGGTTTTGCCAGTGAAATTCTTAAATGGATATTAGATTGCTGTGGCAACTGGCAGAAAGCAATAAATGGTGATTCACCCAGACCAGGGTGATGGACATAGTGCCTCCCAGAGCCACAGGAGGGCCAGTTTGGGCTATACCAGAGGAGATTAGAAACAAAAACATGTGAACTACGGAGAGGCCAGAAAAATAAAGGAAATAGAAAGTTTATACTAATAAAAAATTGCAAGTGCTCATTCATAAGGAAGCTGGAATACCATAGCCCAAACCAGGAAGATTGGCAAGACTTTGTTTCTTCAATTCCATCCTGGTAACTATCACCAAAAACTTAATAAAGATCACACAGCCAAGAAGAGGCAGAGGCCCGTTCAGTGCCAAGTTTGTGAGCCACCCCATTGCTTAATTCAAAAGCAACAGGGGGTGCTTTCCAGCAATCAAGGTACCAGTCAGCTTTGCATGATTTTTTTTTTCTTTTTTCAACTAATCTTTCCATTATTTTTATTCATTCATTCATTCATTCATTCAACTGATTATTAAAAAAAAATTTCAAGAGTATAATTCATTGGCTTTATGTATATTCACACTGTTGTGAACCACTCACCACTGCCCATCTCTAGAACTCTTTCATCATTCTAAACTGAAACTGTAGCCATTAAACACTAACTCTTCATTTCCCCCTCCCCCCCAGGCTCTGGCAAACACAGTTCTACTTTCTATCTCTATGAGTAACTTTTCTAGGTACCTCGTAAGTGGAATCATACAATATTTGTCCTTTGTATATGGCTTACTTCACTTAGCATAATGTTTTCAAGGTTCATCCATATTGTAGCATGTATCAGAATTTCATTCCTCTTTAAGGAGATTTGTACATTAAAAAAAATAGTTTTAGTATACAATTAGGCCTTTTTGTCATTTGACATGCCTATTAAGAATATCATATGTATGACGCTAATTAGTTTGAGGCATGTAGAGTATATTTAGCATCATCTCACCCCTCAAGCAGCTTGCGGTCTGGTCTGTTTCTAAATGAAACAGGGACACAGATGGTAATAATACAATATAGAATGTGCTAAGTGCTGTAGAAGTATACGTGGAGGCCTTGGGATTTAGTCAAGCATGAAATTACTTCCAGCCGTGGGGCTACAGATTTCACAGGGGAGAATTAGAGCCAGGCTTTGAGAGATTGATAGGGTGTGGATAGGTGGAGATACCGTCAAAGGAAATTCCCAGTGGAAAGAAACATGTGAGCCAAGGTATGGAGTGGGAGAAGTAAGGACCATATTTGGGGGACATGTTCAGATTTAGGGGAGTGTTTGGTACATTCATGGTGGTAATAGTAGCTGTAGCTATAAAGAGAGATTAAGGCCAGGTCATTGAGAGCTTTGCATACCAGACTAAGGATTAACCTTACAGGCATTGGGAAGCTGTTAATGATTTTTCAGCAATGGTTAGCTACAAATAGAGTTGCTACTTAAGAGTATTTATTAATATGTGAGTTCTGTGTACAATGGATTGGGAACAGGAAGAGATTTGAGGCAGGAGGGACAGATTATTTGACGAGGTGGAAGGTAATGAGGTCATCAGCCGGGATGGTGACAATGAAGGAGTGAATGGAGTGCAGATTTTGAAGGTGGATCAGCAGGTCCCATGGAGGTCCTAGAAGAGTAATCTTTGACTCCTGAGGTTCAGCACCAGCATAATCCAAATGAGGCAGAGGGTGGAGCAGATGTAAAGGCCTCTGCAGCTGTGCTTTACATCTGTTTCTTGGTCTGTAAACATTCTACTTGGCAAAACCTTTCAATGCCTGAGATAGTTGGCCAGTAGTGCCCAGTATTTGGCCTTACTAATCTGTGTTAGAAATTGCTGTGCAAACTACCTCACAGGGCTCAAGGCCAGGATAGGAAGATTTCTAAGTAGAGTGCATTACTGCTGCACCTGGTAGTCTTCATAGGATCAAGACTGTGTCACAGTTTCCATTATGCACATGGTTTCTCATTCCATCCCCTAGAGGTTTATAACTTAGCAATGAAAATTCGCTCCTACTGGGAACTTGGCAGGAAGATTATGTTCTTAGCCCAGCAGCAGTTCTAGTTAAAAAAATTTTTTTGACAAATTGGTTTAGTGCATTTTATAAAATGCAAATATTAATCTAATTCACTTCAAGTTTTTCAAGAACTATTTTTGTTCCATTTCACCTTTAAGGAAACTTGCAGAGAACTAGTAGGGAATACTTCTCATGAAAGATCTGTTCTGAATATGTTTTGAGTCACTTGTACATCTTTTTTCCAAAATTGTAAAGCTCTGCTTAAATTTTAACTTGCCCCAAATAGCAGCTACATCATTGCTTTTTACATAGGTTTTTAGCATATTGGCATCAGACTTGAGAAATCTCATCTGGATCCTCCCTTCAGATAAAGTCATGGTGAAATTATTTGTCTTGCAAGAGATCCCAAAACCCTAACTCTAAAATTCATCAAATCTCAGTTTGTCAAGAATCAGGAATTCCCTAGTTTGTTTCCTGGTTTGAAGTGCCAGGCCCCTGCCTACTCTTGCCTAAGCCATAGGATCATAATGGGATCTAACATTTTGGGGTTTTGGCCGGCCCGTGGCTCACTCGGGAGAGTGCGGTGCTGATAATACCAGGGCCACGGGTTCAGATTCCATATAGGGATGGCCGGTTAGCTCACTGGGTAAGCGTGGTGCTGACAACACCAAGTCAAGGGTTAAGATCCCCTTACCAGTCGTCTTTATATGGAAAAAAAAAAAAAAGATAACATTTTGGGGTTTTGGCCGGCCCGTGGCTCACTCGGGAGAGTGCGGTGCTGATAATACCAGGGCCACGGGTTCAGATTCCATATAGGGATGGCCGGTTAGCTCACTGGGTAAGCGTGGTGCTGACAACACCAAGTCAAGGGTTAAGATCCCCTTACCAGTCGTCTTTATATGGGAAAAAAAAAAAAAGATAACATTTTGGGGTTTAAGTATGTGTCAGACACTATACTCAGAGAATCACACTTATAATCTCACTACACTACATTTTAAATACTTGTTTAACTCATTTGAGTCCTATTGTACAAAAGAGGAAACTGAGACCAAAAGAGCTGAGAAAACTGGCCCCAAATTAAGCTGTTCTGGATTGACCTGAAAGGCTATGTCACCCCCCAGGCCAGGACTTCTCCCACAGTGCAATGACTCCTCCTTCATTTCATGCTTGATTGAACCCTGAGCCTTGTGGTCTCTAAATGTTCATTTTGGATTAGCTGAACCTTTCTTGGAAATGATAAGCCAGACTCTGTGCTATGCTTTTGCTTCAGATCTTGGAGGGTAATTTGGTCCCTGTTCCCAAAGGAGCTCAGGAATCGTTTGGGCAGCTGCTTAGCCTTTGCAGAGGTGCTTTTTCTGGAACTCTTGCTATGGTCTTTCTTAATGTGAGTGGATTCTGGTTTTTATGGGATAGAGATTGGTGAAAAGACCAGACTCTAATGGGTTTCAGAAGTTTTGGGGCAGACCTATAGCATATGTTCTATTATTTTGGGGGGTTGTGGGGGAAGTGGCTGGGTGGTACAGGGATCCGAACCCTTGACTGTGGTGTTATCAGCACCATCAAGTGAGCTAACTGGCCAGCCTGTGGCTGTCATTTTTAATCCATAACATTCTTCACTTGCAGTCAAGAGTGGTCCTGTGAGACTATTAACTTATTCTTTGACTTTGGAACCAAATGAAAGTAGAAACTCAATCACCTTTATGACTGAATACTCATTACTTAGCATCAAATAGAGAAAGATGTGTATCCACATTTATTTGTTATCTGTTGCTGTGTAACAAATTAACTCCAAAACTTAGTGGCATAAAACAATAATAAACATTTATTATCTCACAGTTTCTGTGGGGTGAGTAATTAGAAAGCAGCTTATCTGGATGGTTCTAGCTTAGGGTATTTCTTGAACTTGCAGTCAAGATGTCAGCCTGAGATGAAGGCTTGGTTGGGGCTGGAGGATCCACTTCCAAGGTGGCTCATCTGCATCACTGATGGCTGGTTAGTTTTGGCTTTTGGAAAGAGGCCTCAGTTCCTTACCATGTGATCCTCCCTGTAGAGATGTTTGAGTGTCCTCACAACATGGCAGCTGATTTTCCCCAGAGTGAAAGATCTAAGTGAAAGTAAAGTGGAAGCCACAGTGCCTTTTAAAATCATACACTGTCGTTTTTGACATACTTTATTGGTCACACAGGCCATCCCTACACATTATGGGAAGAGACTACACAAGAGTATGAATCCAGGAGGCAAGGATCACTGGGCCCGTATTCAAGGTTGGCTACCGTACACCACCATTTTTGCCCCCTTTGGTTAGGAAAAGCAAGAGAGGAGTAAAGGAGAGAAATACTGCTGGAAAAATAAAGAAGAATAAAAGGATATGGCACATAAAACAAGTCACCATAATTCCACATAGGGAGACTTAGGAGCATAGAGGCAGGCAGATAGATATTATTAAACCAACAAGGGCAGGCTGGTTGGCTCGGTTGTTTAGAGCATTTGTTGTAACAACAAGGTCAAGGGTTCAGATTCCCTACCAACCAGCCACCAAAAACAAAACAAACCCAACAAGGTTTCTGGCTTCTTAAAGTGACAATTACACCTTTTCCCACTGATATCTGAGTTGAGAACTAAGGAGAAACATACACAGATATCAGAATAGTGGAGATCAGAATGTCAACCTCATTACTGATGGTGGTGGATTGAATTTGTGGCTACAGTCCTCCCCTTCATGTCTGGATCTAGGGACAACCTTCCTGAGAGAGAATTTGGGTATGTAGAGTAGATGAACTTCCTCAGGATTGTTTGCCCATGTCAAACTCCAATTTAAGGGACACAGAGACTTTCAGACCCACCTCCAGAAAGTAGGCCTACCCCTGACCTCTGACCCATGACTCCTCTGTGCCTGCAACACACAGAGGCAAAACAGAACCCACTCAGCCTGTAGGCAGGCAGGTCAGGGGGGGCAATCTCTCTAATGATATGTGCACTCCTATCTTCTGAGAGAAGAGGGAGGGACAGAAATGGTTCCCCTCCTGGGAAGTGGAACAAAACTTGCCTTCTGTATGACCAAGATACAAACACTGAGAAGGGGTGAGAATGGCTGTTCCTGGAAAGGTCACTCTAACAAACCATTCTGGGCCATCAGTAGTGGATCGATACACATATCCAAACCCTGTCTTCGTTAATACCAAGTCTCTACTAAACAGAGTAGTTGTGTTTTGAGTTGTTTCACAAACAGTTACAAACATGTTTGTGCTATTTCCTATCCTGTTTATGTTAAAGTCTCGTGCACACTAATAGTACACCATTTTTATCACTTTTGAACAACCTTAACTAAAATCTCTCTCTCTTTTGTAGGCACAGGGTGGTGGTTTCCTATCCTCCTCAGAGCGAGGCAGAACTTGAACTTAAAGAAGGGGATATTGTGTTTGTTCATAAAAAACGAGAGGATGGCTGGTTCAAAGGCACATTACAACGTAATGGGAAAACTGGCCTTTTCCCAGGAAGCTTTGTGGAAAACATCTGAGGAGACTAACGCTGAGAAGGCTTCATATCACATCACAACAAAATAGCACAAAGCAATTTAATGAAAAGAGCACATGTGTGGACTTCCAGATGGTCAGGACATGAGTGAAGGGTTGGTGTGTGACTCCAGTGCCCCCAGCACAGTTACACCAGCGAGCAGAGTGGAGAAGGTGGTGTGTGGGTGCCCTCGCTCCGGATTCTGATGTGTCAGGTGTGCCTTGTACTGTCTGATGTACTCTGCAGAGAAACCTTTTTTTTTTAAAGATATATAATTAAAATGGACAATTGTTTACAAGGCTTAACTAATTTATTCGCTTTTTTAAACTTGAACTTTTCTTATAACAGATAAATTCTTTGGATTATGATTTTAAGAAATTATTAATTTATGAAATGATAGCTAAGGAGAAGCTGGATTATCTCCTATTAAGAGCAAGAGATTCTTTTTGACATAGAATGCAACACTCCCCCCCCCCGCCCCGGGTATATTTTGGCATTATGTTTTGCTTCTTTAAGACAGAAATGCCATTCTCTAATTTGGTTTTCTTCTTTGGGAAACCAAACGTACAACTGAATCATTATCAATAAGGGTCTGGGGTAGGGAGACAGAAACTTGAGAGAAGTTAGTGATTCCCTGTCTTTCTAATTTGGTCAAAAATCACTCTTAAGACCTAGTCCTCAATTTAATTTTGTGGGTTTTTAATTTTCCTAGAATGAAATCAGTGAAGTGATGAGGAAGATAAAGCACAAACCCTTGAGCAAAAATGTATTCAGAAGTGTATTTAGTTTTATAACAGGTGAAACTCAATTCAGTGGTTGGAAGGTAGGAGAAATTGAAGTTGTCTGAGAATGGCTATGAAACGTAATTTCCCATTTTACCCCAAGTGATCTGCATGCCCAGGACACAATAAAATGTTTGTGAGATAGTGGTGGTAAGTGATGCACTTGTGTTAAAGTCGAAGGCTGTTAAGAAACACTGTGAAAAGTTTACATTCATCCATTGTGATTCTTTCCCCAGCGTCTTGCATGTGTTACTGGATTCCCACAGTAATGAGACTGTGCATGGTGTGTATATTTCATTGCAATTTCCTGTTGAGGTTAGTTTGCACTCGGAATTGACCAACGACACTTGGGGTGTAAAATAAACAGTATTCTCTTCTCTGCTCCAAAGCCACTACTGACCAAGGTCTCTTGAGTGCACTTGCTGCCTCTGGCTATGGCATCCATTAGCCACATTACTCAAGTCATTAGTGAAAATGCTCTTTTATGTCCTTCCAGCAGATAGATCTAAAGGACAAGTTTATGCAGGAAACTTCTCCTGTGACTTTTCTATTGAAGCTCTGGAAGGCTTGGCGGGAGTGAATGTGCCCACACCTTACAATTGTGGCAGGATCCAGCTGAGCCTGTCTTTTTATATCCATTCTTTGATGTCATTGGCCTCTTCCACCAGTTTCATTATGGTGCCACGCAGTCGTGCGTCTGGGTAGTCCTGAAAACAAAAGGAGGGAAGACAAACTGGTAGTAAGATTGTTACCACAGTTTTCTCATGAGAAATCAGTCCAATAAACAAATCTTTTCATTTTTTTACCTTTAAGAATTAAAACTGGGAAACAGAAACATGAACTGAAAAGTCTTCTTGCAATAGCAAGAGTTTCATGGTCTTAAAAAGATATATTATGTGGTTGAAAATGAAATCATTCCTAAATTAACCATTTATATATATATTTATATATATATATAACACTGTACATTATGTTCCTGTGTGTTGAATTTTTTAAAAATACTTTACTTGGATATTCATGTAATATATAAAGGTTTGGTGAGATGAACTTTAGTTAGAAAAAAAAGCTGGCATCAGCTTTCTTCTGTGTAAGTTGACACCAATGTGTCATAATATTCTTTATTTTGGGAAATTAGTGTATTTTATAAAAATTTTAAAAAGTAAAAAGACTACTACAGGTTAAGATAATTTTTTTTACCTGTCTTTTCTCCATATTTTAAGCTATGTGATTGAAGTACCTCTGTTAATAGTATCTTGGTATAAAATTTCATCTGTTAATAGATCATTAGGTAAAATAATGTATGGGTTTTATATTGGTTTTTTGGAGACAGTAGGTGGAGATTTTGTAGCAAGGACTTGTTACACAGTGATATGGTAATGATAAAATTGCAATTTATCATTTGTTTTCATGTTAATAATTTGATGACTGGATAAAAGGTTTCAAAATTAAAATTTGATGTTCAACCTTTATGTTTCCTTTGAATCAATCCTTAAAATTTTGTTTTTGTTTTTGTTTTAAACCTGGGACACATTTGATTTAATTGCACAAAACTTCTTCACATACACCTCAAACAGAAAACGTCTACAAGAATCAAATTTTTTTTGAAATTTTTTATTTTTTATTCTTAATTGACACATAATAGTTGTACCTTATATGGGATACAATGTGGTGTCTGGGTACATGTATACAGTGTGTAATGATCAAATTCAGGTAATTAGTATATCCATCACCTTAAACATTTGTCATTTCTTTGTGTTGGGAACATTCAACATCCGCTTTTCTAGCTATTTGAAATTATGCAATAACTTGTTGTTAACTGTAGTCACCCTAAGGTGCTGTAAAACACTAGAACTTACTCTTCCTTTCTAGCTGTGGTTTTATATCTGTTGACCAACTTCTCCCTACCTCCCTGGGCCCCCTCCCCTTCCCAGCCTCTAGTAACTACTATACAAGAATCAATTTGGTGGTTATGATACCTTTGGTGGTTATGATTCCTTCAACAAAGAAACATTTTTTTAGCTTCCCAAGAAGCTTAAAGTCTTCTTAAAATCATTTGTGTAGTCTGACAGGGTCTGCATAACACTTCTATTCCCGCCTCCCCCTTCAGGTTTACTAAAATAATCTGGTGAGTGCTAGAAGTTGTCTTTGCCGTAGAAGCAGACCCATAACCAACCATGTGATAATCCATAGGTCTCAGCATGACTTGGAAACATAATCTTTAGACTCACGATGATTTTAATCTTCCATGAAACGAAAGGACCATGTAAGCATGTTAAAAAGAATCTTCCTGTTAACCTTTGGTTCTATCAAATTACTTAGGTTAAAAACCAGAAATTCTTGGGCAGGCCCGTGGCTCACTCAGGAGAGTGCAGTGCTGACAACAAGTCAAGGGTTAAGATCCCCTTACTGGTCATCTTTAAAAAAAAAAAAAAAAATCACAAGTTCTTGGTTGTATCATAGCTTTGCCAAAAACTACTTTTGTAATCACTTGGGCAGGTCAACTATTACTTAGTTTCCTCCTTAGTTACTGCCCTGCCTATCCCACTGGGTAAAGGTGGGGAACAAAGAATATAATGTCACTGTTTTGAAAGTCCTAATGTGTGGCGTTAATCTAATCTCTGGTTTCAAATATTTCCTCTTGCTCCCTTGGAGTATATGATATAATGCCTTTCTGAATCTAATTGGATTTAGAAAGAACAAATTAAGGCGATGTTTTCAACTGCTATGCATTTAATTCTCTATTCCTATGATAATAAGACAACATTTTCATACCTCCAGAAGTTCAGGTGAATATTTCAATCCGGAACTATAAACAACATTAGAAATCAGGTTTGGAAAGTGCTTTTAGTAGATATTTGACTAAGTTCTACAACTCCTTGTGTGTATTTGTGTGAAAAAATTTTTTTTAATGTGTTTGAACCAATTTAGCTATTTCCTTATCAAGGTAGCAACCTATTGAAATTACACCTTTCCAAGAAATAGAATTTGCCAGTCTACCAAAATAAACAGGGGAGTAACCCTCACTAACTCCTATGACTCCAGGCTGTAATGGAGTATGCTGGGGGACCTTGCTCTGCTGGTTAGTAATTATCACCAGAGGCAAGAAAGAGTAATTAGAGTGAGTGGTAACCAGCCAATGCGAATGCAACAGTTTTAAAATACCCTCTGTCTGGTTTATAAATGAACATTTTTTTTTTGTTTTCTTTTATGTTTCCTATTAATAACTTTCTGACTTGGCTATTTAGAATTTCATTTCAGAAACACTGCCTGGATCTTACTTAATGCAAATTCTTATTGTAATACGATGATCCAGACTCCCAGTAACCATGTTGAAGGTATTTGCAGTTGGCATTAATCTTTGGGCCACCATTTAATACTATTATCGTAGGGTTAGACTACTTTAATGGTACTAAGTCTCCAAAGATAACGGAATTATCCCAGCCAGCAATCAGTGATCCAGTTGCCACAGTTATTGCTTACATCTTAGATAAGAAAGTTGGTTCCAAGAGCTCTTTGACCGTGGAGTTGAATCTTTCAAGGTCTGAACACTTACAAAAGTACTAGAAGAAACCATGAAAGACTTTGGAGAGGAAAGGCCTTGCTCAATATGACTCAAAATCTAGAAACAAACAAAAAGAATTTTGATAAATATGTACATGACAAAACACCATTATCAAAGTCAGAATAATAATGGAAAAAAATTATAACCCCTTTAGCAGACAGAGATAATTTCCTTTATATATAAAAAGTCTCTACAAATAAAAACTAAAACCCCAAAAGTAAATTGACTAAGGATTTGTGACAAACTGCCAATTGCCTCTCAATATATCCATTTTCCTCTTTTCTCTTATTAACTGCTAACTGGTAAATGTGCTCAGTTAAAAAGCTCATTTTCCAGTCTCCCTGATGGTTAGATGCAACCATGTTCCTAAGTTCTTTTTGAGATACAAGTAAAGTATTAAAGGGAACTTCCGGCGAGGCTTCTTAGAAGAGGGATGCACACATCCTTCGGCTGTTTTGTTTTTCCCTTTCCAGCCTGCAGTGTAGATGGGGTGGCTGGTTCTTCAGCAACTATGTTGAGCATGTTTTGTATATGTTTATGAGATGGTCAGTCAGGTGTGGCCACAAGAGGAGGCAGAGGACATGCTCAGAAAAAACAAAGTTTATTATACTCACAGGTCCTGGAGACAGAAGGCAGGGTTGGGAAAGACATTAGCATGGCCAGGATGCAGAAAACAAGAGTGAAGGAAAGGTTCCACGGGAAAGGCAAAGCAGGGCAGGGTAAACACTTTAGGATTGGCTTATTTGAATAACTTCAGCAGGCTTCGAGCTGTAGGGGTGGTCT